TGTCAAAGTTATTCCTCAGTTAAAATTAATCTGAGCATTGAAAAATTGGTCTTTAGAGTGGTATTCTGGCTCTCGACTTAGATTCTTGGTTCATACATCGTATTACGGATATTAAGATTAGATTTTCTGTGGTAGGACATATTCTGGAATAACAAGGTATATTCAAGTCGTAATATAACTGGCTAATCATCTCTACTTATGTATTAAATGTTTAATTCTATTTGTATTGTTTCAGGTCATAACGGCGGCGGAGTTCCATCCGACTGAATGCAATCTCTTTGTCTATTCTAGTAGTAAGGGTGAGTACTACAATGCTAATTAATCATACATACAATTATTAAACCACATCTTAGCTAGTTTGAATACGTATTTGCAGTTCGACGGATAACAGACCTTTATTTTCTATTGAATAGTGTAAAAGTGCTTAATACTGGTAGTAGTTTAGAATCTAAATTACTAGAAGCGACTGCATCCTGGTAGAAACCTTTAGTTAAATGAATTCCGTCAGTGTTAAATTAGTATAATGTATCCTGCAAGCGAATCTAACCCTTGTATTCTTTCTCGTAGGTACAATAAGGCTATGCGACATGCGCGCGGCGGCGCTATGCGACCGTCACGCGAAGCTCTTCGAGGAGCCCGAGGATCCACATGCGAGGTCATTTTTCTCTGAGATCATCTCCTCCATCAGTGATGTCAAGCTTAGTAATTCTGGAAGGTAAGGGATTCTATATTATACTAGAAAACCCAGCGAACTCCGTTTCGCCATAAGATGGCTTCGTTTTATGTAACATTTCGTTTGGTAATTAAAAGTGAATTTTCTTTGCTATAAACCTCACGGAACCAGATACCTTTTCCACGAATGCATAATTCATGCGTTCTGGAGTTATAGCGTCACGAAGGAAAACCCGACTTATTTTTATATAGTAGATTTTTTTATACTATTTATTTAAATAATATTATTATAAATGATACATGCGACCAGGCAACGACGGAACGGTGACTTCGCGGTAACGAGTCGTGTATTCTATCGCTGATCTAATGATCTTCAGGTCGCTTACCAAGCGAGGTGACTTTGGCAACCAGTTGAGATTTACCATTAAAACCTTTGTTCATCACTTAATCAGTTTGTAGTTTCGAGTTGTGTAAGTTGTGTAAATATTTCTAACTTGATAATCTATCTATTTCAGATACATGATGTCGCGAGACTACTTAGGTTTAAAAGTATGGGATCTACGCATGGAGACGAAGCCTGTAGAAACATACCCAGTACACGAGTACCTGCGGTCCAAGCTGTGTTCCCTGTATGAGAACGATTGTATCTTTGACAAGTTCGAGTGTTGCTGGAGCGGAGACGACCAGCGGCTCATGACCGGGTCTTATAATGGATTCTTTAGGTATGTTCTGATGTTTATTGTGATAATGTGTAATGTAAGATTTATTCTATGAACTGACTTTGAAATCACTATTGTGAGGTACATGGCGGCAAATTAGACTCTATTTATCGTAAGAGTTGGTGTGTGAGAATATACAATTAACACAGAACAGTAGCAGTACTCTCTGATGAAACTTTTGATTTGAGTCTTACGTTTGATTAACACGCACTAGACTATCCTGCGTTGTGGCTAAACTCGCTGCAATGACATAACAGTAGCATAATGCCAAAATACTGTCTCCCGCAGGATATTCGAGCGCGGCGGCTGCGGGTCTGGCTGCGGCGCGCGGCGCGGCGAGCTGACGCTGGAGGCCGCGCGGGACGCCGCCGCGCGCCCGCGCCAGCCACTGCGCGCGCGCAGGGTCGCTACCACGGCCAAGAGGAAGAAGGTACGATGCAAATCTATCATATTATTGCAGTCAGAGTGCCGATGACGTCAGAGTGGAATACGTCAGTCAAATCAGCCCTTACTCTTTGTAATAGTCATAGTAAGATATTATATTGATATTATATTGCTGTGTAATGACGGCAAAGTAGAATACGTTAGTTGTTGGGTGTCGTAAGAAACAACATATTTGACAGAGGCCAAGCAACATAACTCTATTAAACTGTCAAACACCAAGCGGTCACCGGTGACCGCAACCTATTGTTCTATAATTGTGTCTACAAAACCGGTACTCGACGAGTTAAAGTTAAACTTTTTATTTGAAATTAGTGTTGGACAATATGCCAAACACGTCTTAGCTAGAGTATGCTCATAATGTAGCGGTTTACTCTCATAGGCTGATGATATTTAATCAGAAGGTAGATTAGCCTTTTTTCAGAAACAATTACAACCTCATTCACATCTACTTGACCAATATGACGTCACCACAATATATCTACTTTTATCTTACTGCCGGTTGGTACGGTGCCTGGGCAACCGGCTGCGGTGCAGCGTGTCGCGAGTTCGATTCCCGCACGAAACAACATTTTATGTGATACATAAATTATTGTTTCGGGTTTGAGCGTCATGTGTATGTGAATTTGTATGTTTGTAAGCACACTCACGACACAGGAGAAAATCCTGGTGTGGGGTATTAAAAAAAAAATCTACAGTTTAACAAAATCTAACCGTAAAATTTTCTTTTGCAGGACGAAATAAGCGTAGACTGCCTGGACTTTAACAAGAAGATTCTCCATACGGCATGGCATCCTCACGAGAGTATAATAGCAGTGGCGGCCACGAACAACCTCTTCATATTCCAGGACAAGTTCTAGCGGCCGCCTGACCCTCGCACCGGGATCTCGCACGGTACTTAGTATAACACTTCTAGAGGAACGATGCAAGCTGATAACAGATGGCGACACCGTCACTTTTGGTCTTTAGGGTCCTTGTTAACATTGTTTTGTTGAGTAAATCAGTGATTTCTGTGTGCAATTGTGTTGATTGTCTCTGGAAATCGTAATTTTCTCGTTTATATTAATGGCCAATAGCAATAAGCGATCTTAATCCAGAATCCAAGGATTGATCTAAGGTTTTGATAGAAAGTCCATACAACTAATGAGAAAAATCGATGTTAATCCAAAGATTTTGCGTTGAGATTGGTTGTCTTCATATAAAAATTGACAAATTTCAATAAAGTTGTAAGGAAAGAGTCTCAAAGTTAAGGATCCCTATAGATATTTGTTGCCATCTGTGTAAGCTTTGTCTAAGCCTCGTTAAACCAATGTGTTGTATATTATACCTGTTATAATGTAAATGACAAGCTGCATACACAGTGAGGGTGCTACTGGAACTGTCCTTACAAAAATAATCTTTAATTTCTATTCAGCCATTCGAAATTGATACCTATTTTCGTATCTATAAGTTATACAGTTCAGTAGCATCTTTACTTGTCAGCTTCATTCAGAGAGTTCATTTACCCCGGGTAGTAAAGTACGCAACGATAGCAATAATTTGTTTTAAACCTTATGTGAAAGTTAATAAGGGCTATAACCGCATGCACACAATCTCAGACACTTATTTCAAACCACATGCGGGTAAAAAGAAACTCTAAATCATTCACTTAAGATTGAAATTCCAATACATTACTGTGCTCAATACAACGCTCATTGAATACATAGGTATTTTGAGTCCTCGGTGCGTCAGGCGTGAAATATTAAGTAACTTGTTGAATGCAAGCGCGGCTTTCTATACGTGACGTTAACCAGCATCATCACAATTTAATTAGAGTCCTAATGCTATAGGAAAAGGATCCATTATTCTAAATAAAAAGGGAAATAATGCCACCATTTTTTCTAAAGGAGCTCCAATTTTTCACAAAGCTTTGAATCAAGACTGTTTAGTAGTAGGACTGAAGGCCCGTTCACAACTTTTTTTAAGTAATCCATTGTCGATATGTCATTTCGAAAATTTTTATTGTGAAGAAGATAGAAAAGGTACTGATGTCATGATGAAGTATGAGTTGAATTCTGTTTATGAAAATGTTTAATGTCGTTTATCATCGCAGCAGAAAAAAGGATCTTGATTTAAACACTAAGTGTCTTACCTTATACTGCAATCTAAAAGGTTTAGTCAAGAAATTTTATTTAATTTCTTCTATCTATATTTACACATCGATTACATCGTTTAACAGTCGGGTAAAAACCAAAATGTAGATAGACATTCATGTTCAATTGCATTTTAACTTACCAAATTATTGCAACATTAATATATTAAATAAATTATTATGTTTTCGGCTTACTCACGTAATTATTTGACGAGGAACTCGACTAGTTTCGCGTTTCACGCGGTGACTTTCGCGCTGCGTCACAGGTCGCGAAATGCTACTCATGAATATTAGCCTCTAGTATGTCTTGAAACGATGAGTTCCTCGTCAAATAATTACGTAAGCCGAAAACATAATAATTTATTTAATGTCTCACGAAAGTTATAATATTAATATAATAATTGAAATTATGTTTAACGGTTTTCATATTTGTCACGGATCGCGTAACTCTGGTCATGAATATGAGCCCCTAGCGTGGCGTGAAACTAGTTCATTTTCCTCGTCAAACAACTGCGTGAGTAACGTCCGAACACTGAAAGGCTCACTCAATTTTGAGTCCCACTTAAATATCGTGCTATCATTGTCATTTTACAAAGAATTTCTAGTGTCAGAACTATACTATACTAGACGAGGCGTTTGTAAGCCTTTGAACATAATTCAATGTCTCACGAAAGTTAAAAAGTAAAGATTTTCAAGTATCTTTCATTAAAATACAAGAAATTAATCTGCCGTCTTACAAAATACAACCTCGTACTGAATCCGTCTCAAATGCCTGCTTTATAAATAATAATAAGTCACTGAAAGCCGCTCTTGTCCAGTTGTGTCGTATTGTTATTGGGAATCGTACCTTATTCTCGTAGTTTAAAGTCCAATACAGAAAGTACTTACGTTTCCTTTTTAAGTTACACGATTTTTTTACAGTTGTGTGACTTTTAGTATCTGTTGAGCTTACAAAATCATACTTTATTTTCTAAGCGTAAAGGTCTCTTTCTACTTAAATTACATTATCTTAAAATTTAGATTTTCTTCAATTTTTATTGGTTTTCTCATTTTAACTAATTGTATGGGTCCCATACAATACGGCACAACATGTAGGTAGATAGAAACTAAGTCCGTTAATTCAAATTTTCTGAGAAAAAAAGAAAGTAATTTATACGCTTTTCTTACTTAAGGTTCTAAGCGATAATTAAGTATTTATTGTTTAAACATAAACACTGTACCTTTTTTAAGGAAACGACACATCCTTTGTATGAGATTAGTTAGGTATAACGAATGTTCTAGACGCGTCAAGGAAATGTATGAGATCCCAAGTCATTAAAATTTTTTTTTTATGAGACGTGTATGGGATGTTTTTTTTTAATTTCCGCGTCACGAGTATCGTGTAGTAACGTAGGTCTTTTTATTTTCATCATGATGTAGGTGTAAGTATTTTTTAAATGAAAGCCATGGCGACTGGTCGGCGTTTTTTGCTAAATATTTAGTAATATGAAGTCTTATGAAAATTGACAAGTTGTTTATATTCTTATAAATACAAAAATATAGCTTCATTGCACTGATATCATTGAAAATATCTAACCGTTCCAAATTCGTTTTTATTTCTTGAGTAGTAAAGTCGAATTTCGTTCAGAAGTAGTTGAACCAGTCTCGAATACAGCATGTTTACAATATACGTACATATCTTCAAGCCCGAAAGGGGGTAGGCAGAATGATCTCTTAAACATTTTGATTAAGATCTCATACATTTGTACTGCGCTGAGAAATGGTCACTCATGGTTTATAACCATTTGGTTTTATTTGAAGGAATCCACCGTCAATATAAAAAAAATGTCTGTTTGTACTGTAACTGTGATTTATTTGGAAATTGAACCTTATTCTCTTCACGTTTATGTCGTTTTTTGTATATCACTGATGCTGTAACACAGTGTGAACGTCATTTCATTTTGTACTCTATTTTCATAATTAAGCATTTTTTCTAAACAATAGGTTTGCTCAAAATTCATTATGAATGTGATGTAGAATGTTTTCTATGTTGTCATTCACTGCCAATTTTTATGTCAACTTTGTAGTTAATTTGTTTTTAGAGCAGGTCATAAAATCTACCCTCTTTGTCAGTCGGCTAAAAATAATGATACTTCTATACTTCATATTCTTGTAACGAATTAATTTCTGAAGATGCTAATAAATGTTATGTTTTCAAAATAAAACACAGTCACTAGTACATTTAAAGACGGGAATCATACGTAAAATGTAATTATATACTTCAGCGGAGTAGCCGTCGAGTGACGCTACACTCTGTTGACGATGTACCCTTTGTTTTATTATAATTATATATAATTATGTATTTTCTAATTACTCTGTGAGTTTGTTTATACATTGGCGATGTTACAATTATGATTTCAAAGTTTTCTCTTATAGTCTTGATGGGAATTTGCTGTGATTCGCGTAAGTTTGTGTGAGTTGATTAAATTCACTTTTGTGTTGAATTTTACAATTTGATTTTGAGTTTTTGTGTCATAATGGTGAATTTGTCCTAATTGATGGTCGCTCAATTTATTGATTCAAAGTTGCTATTAATAGTAATTTATGTGGATACAGCAAATCGCATCAAGGCTAGGTTTATTTCATAATTTCGGCATATATTACTTATTGAAAAACATTGTGATTCGATGCTTGAGCAGTGTGGTTATAATAATGTAAATAATGTAGTGTTGTTGAACGATGGTCTGTAAGTAGTCTGAACCGATAGTCTACGTCACAACTTGTACAGTTAATGTTATATGTATTTTGTGTAAAGCTTGGAAATTATGTTCGAATATGATTATAATATGAATTTGTTTCTTTTTTTTAACTTTTGTGTCTAGTATCTACGTTAACAGCTAGCGTTTAATGTAACTACATTTATACATAATTTTGTAACTGAAATTGTTTTGAATAATTGTAAATCGAGGCTTTAAACCAACGTTGCATCGAGCGGATCTTCCTAGAATACATGATAATTCTGTGTTAATAGTTAAATGGTAGTGTTTATGAAAGTTGAAGCTAGCCACTCGATATAAGTCGGAGGCCTGTCGCTCGATAGAACGTCGCCTGCGTGGTGTCTGTTTCTGCAAAACTTATAAGTCTGCATAAAGATATCAATAGGATTTTTCGAGTTAAACAAACCTTTACAAGGCCTAGTGTATTACCCACTCAACGTGCGTCGTGTGTAATTCACCTGTTTGTGATCGCTAGAATCCCGAACTTGTCCATTTTTGTACATAAGTAACTCGTTCCGAACGTTGTGATAGTTTTGCAAGGCGGACCCCAAATAATTTGGTTCTGTACATAGACACGTGAAACGGCTAACATTATTTTTAATATTTCGGCTGTATTCAGGCCCTCCATAATCTCCACAACATTTTTTTATGTTCATCAATATGTATAGGAACTGCGTTAAGTTTTAGTTATGTTTCTGTCGTCTGTTTTGTAAGGGGCCCGGTCAATTCCTTCTAGTTGTTCCGACGATAGCTGAACACGCTGTTTCGCTATGTAATTTAAACAAATGTGTGATATTTAAAAATATGCCTATGCAGCTTGTACTTGGTCTTCTTATAAACGTTTGTAAATGATGCACGAACATTGTCTGAGACGGTTGTAAGTAGAAGAGTTATTTTTTAAAGTATATAATTGCTTGAAAAGCAATAAATAGTATAGGAATTGACTGTCCCCCGTGAGATCCAATGTAAAAATATGTCGCTCTGTAGTATAAATGCAAAGACATCTTGTATAGAGTGTGGTTGCGAAGCGAGAATGCGCGCGAAACAGGTGATGAGTGAGCTATAATTTAAGTACTAGTTTATAGTTAGGCGAAAACTGTGAAAACACAGAATTAAAAAATCAGTTTTTTTTCCTGTATCGAGGGATCAACAGATAATGCTTGATAAATGTGATAATGTCGCAATAAGCGGTGTGTTGTGGTCTGTGGACGAGATGATAATGTGGATAGACTTTTTTTTCTTTTTGAGGTACCGTTTTGCGCTGTGAGGAACCTCGGACGGTTTGCTGACAACGAAACCTCGTGCTGTCAGTGTGAGCGCTCGCGTCGTCGCGCAGACGTACGTTTACGAAGTTATAACAGCTGGACGAATTTTTACATTAATTACTGTACTGTACACATAACTAGCTTCGTAAACCTAAATCTACAGTTTGAAATTTGGTACCGTTCACTTTGTTTGGTGTGGTAAACACGAAAACATTGGTGTTGCCATACAAGTAAATAGCGGGAATTTTAAAATCAATGTGCCATGATCTTCGCCGGCTCGGTGGCGCGCGCGCTTCACACGGAAAGAGTTGTTGTTAAATCAAAATATTTCCTATAAATAATAAAATTTTTATATCTGAACTTTGTGTTTTTATTTTTTATCCTCAATCAAAAGCCATTTTTATTAAAAAAACTTTATTTCATAAATAGTTTTCCCAAATCACATGGTATCACGTCACCACATCGGCAATTCTCTCTACGAGAAGATAAACAAAATATTCTAATTTACACATAAACTACAATAAAAATGCGACCATTAAACACTGAAAAGTGCCAGACAATATCCAATTGCCACGAAGTAAACAATAAACATTTTGTTACAGTACTTACTGCATCATTGTATACACAAAATGTAATTTTCAAAAAATATTGACAATACATAGTACAAATTTCAGTATCCTATGTTTTGACTATATTGAATTATTAAAATTCTAGTATAATTCTTACACAATTTCCTAAATTACATACTTTTTTGAGCACTTTAAACACTTAGGTTCCAGTTTTCCTAATCATATGTCATGAGTTCCCTTCTAGCAGTAATATACTGCTAGTCATAGAATATTTTAGTACATATTTATCACAATATACTTAACACCCAGAGAGTCATAATGTATAATTAACAGCTATTTACACGCTACCCGATCGGTCCTTCCACAATAAAAAACCAAATGAGTCTATTTTCACTAAATTTTGGTATTGTGAAAGATCCCGTAATTTAACTAAACTACTTTATATACCACTTAACCGATGATATAATTAATTTTTAGGTCTTGCAACTACTTATTGGTCAATTCCACAGTTGGGTAAAAACATGATGGCTAGCAACTAGCATTGATGACTGAAGTTTCTACAAATTCCAATAGATTGATTTATTGATCATCATTGGCGCTGGCAACAGGTAAAGAGGGCGCTTATTTTCTAGTTTGGACTTGCGCGTCTTAGGTTGGATGGGCCTTCCTTCCTAGTATTTTAGCTTATGAGGAACTCAACTTGTTCTGAACCGCTTGAATATATTGTCAAGATAGGAATGGTTATCTCAAGGCTGGCTTGGGGGCCCACAATTTGTAAGCATTTTGAAAACTATACTATGCTCTTGATAGGCATGTTTTGTGGCGGCGCCAATGGTAATTACAAAATCTACCAAAATTATTGATAAATCAGTCAAAAATCGTTAATGTGGATGTGAATCGACCATTCTAGACCAACGTAATGCATGTTCAGTTTAATATTTTAGATATGTTTTTATAATAGTAATCAACTGATATGTTGCTATTCCTTGTGTTCAGTTTTTTAACAGTATTCCCTTCAAATACGACAATTGCACTCTATTTGAGCAAGGTCATAAGCATAACTTACATTACAATAAAAAAATTGGCAATCACTAACCACTCGTTAAATTAGTGTTACCAACACGAATAACGAATCAGCAATTTTTTACACAGGCAATTCAAAATACCATAAACATTTTAGGCAACAATACAAGGTCTTTTTATCCACTAAAGTCTAAAATGCAATTAAAAAAAACCACTACGTCTTCTTGAAACGTAACCTTAAGTAAATTAAAGCTAGGGTGATGACTATCCAGGCGATGGTGGTTAGGAAGCCGTAGATGACTGATTTGTCCATGATGGTGGCTCCTTTCTCCATGATATCTCTGAGAGATATCGATGGGATCGTGAACGGGAGGGTGAGGGAGATTATACGTAGTGTGTATGACATTCCTTCTAGAGGCCATAGGATACCTGTGAGGAGAAGAAATTATGTTAGTCACCAATTCTGTCATCAGGAATACCTAAGTACGATAATTAGTTTGGCTTTAAGTAACAGTGATTTGACCTCCGATGTTACGATTTGCTCATTTTTATTAATTCCTTATTTAGGGAATTTATTATTTCTTTTCATTTCTCGGACTTTATAGAGCCTTTGCAAATCATAGTGCCACCATTATTTAGCAATCCGAACAATTCGGTTTGTCGAGCTTAAACTTTAAAATATTCAGTAGGAGATTAGTATAGTCTGATTTAAAACTAAAGTTATTTTGGTAAACATTTCTATCAGAATATAACTAGGCACCGTTAATTTAACTTACCACACAACAGAATCATGGGATAGAAGCTCCCGGTAGCCACGAAGAAAGACATGGTGTGGCTATTGCAGTAGACGGACAGTAGGAACCCGTAGCACATGCCGCAGATACCTTGCAGGAACAGCAGTAGGCCACAGACCAGCTTTGAACCCACTGAAGGGATCCCGTAACCGATGAATGCTAGGGCCATCATTTCTATTGTCTGTAAAAACAGGGTTTATAAACAACAAGTATTATAAATCATATCGTGGCACGTGAAAGGTCAATATTATTAAAAGGTCAATATTATTCGCTACTATACTTATAATTATAGGACTTATAAATTCTAATTATAAGTTTGAAATAGCCAACCCGCATTGAGCAAGCGTGGTGATTGATGCTCAAACGTTCTCCGTGTGAGAAGAGGCTTTGCTCAGCAGTGGGCATTTATAGGCTGCGCATCTGCTAACTGTGAAGATTATGGTATACCCTTCTAAAGTAAAAACGGCTCATTGTCCAGCCGAGAGTCACAAGTGCGGACTGTGACAGGCCGACAGACGTAAGACCATTTAGTTCTACGTGATTTTTTAAGTATATGATAGAAAACCCCCTACTAACCTGTAATAAAATGACAACAGACTGTAGCGTGATGTGCACGTTCAACATCTCCTTAGGCTTCACTCCGGCCACTGCACTCCTCTCCCACACTCCCTCCAGCCGGTCCGTGATCATCAACGTCGACGTCACGATAGCAGACAAGAAGTAAATGATGCTGGAATGCATTACAAGGCATTTTTATCAAATGAGAATCTAAATGTTGATCATTGATTCTTTAGTAGGTGATCAAATATCAATAGTTAGTTCAGCATTCATTTTGTTTAATCTAAAGGTAGAAATTTGATTATTATTGATACAAATTATTTTATTGTAGGTACTGCCTCGATGGCCGAGTGGTCGCAAGTGCGACTGCCGGGCAAGGGGTCTAGGGTTCGATTCCCGTTTTGTTTTAAAAAAAGATCTCAGTAGTAGCACGGAGTCTGGAAATGTGCCTGGTATATGGCAATAGGCTCACCCCCTATTACATGGGACTCATAACATAAATAGTGAAAAGTGGGTGTAACATTGTACAGTGCCGTAATGTGCACCTCTGCCTACCCCTTCGGGGATAAATGGCGTGATGTGATGTATTGTTATTATTTTATTGTGTAGAATTGGATGTACCTATTTACCTTAGCTAGCAATTAGGCAGACAAAACATGCAAATAATCTAAAATTATTTTCGACATTATTTTTTTGTTCCGAGAAAAAAGAGACTCCAACTATAGAGGTAGTTCTTTGCTATAGCTCTTTCATCAGTTAGTGCCAGTAAAAAAATAAAAAAAGCCTTATATTTCCCAAATATTAAAAAGATCTACATTTTCAAAAAAAAAAATTATATCAAAAGGTTTAGTTTAAGGGACCTGAGGTGAAGGCTTCCTCCAGAGAATGCCATCTTTCTCGATCTTCTGTTGTATTTAGCCAGCGTAGCCAGGTACCAGTATGGTCGTAAAAATTATTAGCAGAATCTTGTTCAATAATACCTAACACTAGATTGGCTTTGCTTCCAGCGATGCAGTTTCATTTAAGAAGTTAATATTAGGAGAAGATTATTGTCGTTATTTTCTTTTCCATAATTCTCAAATTGGATTTTATTTTTAAGCCATTATTAAGCCTATGAATTGCCAAAGCTATGTACGCCATTATTGTCGCATGCATCAGACCTTTATTTTGTTACTATTGTGTATTTTGAATGTTATTTGTTTGTGATATGGCCGTACTCCTTCGCATAAAATAAAATAAAATAAGAAAAAGGTGTCATATCCACATGTCCATGACCTGGTCCATATACTTACGTGATGAGGATTCCTGGCGCCATGAAGCTGACCACTTGAGGTTCACTCTTACCGTACACTGGCTTCTCGAAGTGCACTGGTATCTGTCATACATAAAGGTGTTAGCTGAGAGGGAACAGTTATTGTTGCAGGTTTTTTGAAATTTGAGATGGGGTCGGTGGTAGGCAAATGTACCTACGTATGTACCCAAGGCTGTCTAGTATATACCATAACAGCACTCGGGGTCCGTGCCCAGGGGCCCCGAAGGACCGACAATTTCTACGACGGCTACAACCCCAAAACCCGCACGGAACAAATCTTTGTGTGCTCAACAAATTGTTGTTTTGTCTGAGTGTCATGTGTATTTGTAAATGCACCCACGATACAGGAGAAAATCCTAGTGTGGGGCAACCCAGAAAACAACAAAAATTTTACTAAAAAAGCCGCGAATTTTTGTGTGCCCAAGAGTCCCAGCGTAGTCTAAGACGACCTACATAAAAGTTGGTCAGTAATTGGAGTGCAAAGGCGAGAGAAAATGTTTGTGTACCACACAATTTTTTTTTAAATATCAAAATGAAATTAAATAGTTCACTTTTCACCCACTTTTTACCCCAATTTGCAATGATTATTAATTATTACCTAGTGGTGTAAATACTGTGGTAACACTAATGTGTTGACATTTTTTATGTGTTTTCAAGTGCGAAGCTGCGCCTGCGACCCAATTGCGTTAGCACGCCAGTCGTCTCCCAGCTTTGGTTTTAACCAGTAATAGTTTGTAGTTTTATATTAGATGTGGATTGTATATTTTCTAAGAAAATATAAACACAAAGTTTTCTCTATTTCATTTTGTATGTGGTTTATTCTTATTTAAATTCACTTGACTCCAGTACAGTTCATGTGTTCAATGAAAGTCCAAAATAAAATAGGTAAACCTTTGTGTTTATATTGTATTAGAAAATACACAATTCACAACTAATTTAATACTATAAAATATTAATAGTCAACACCAAAAGCTGGGAGACGACTGGCGTGCTAACGCTATAGGGTCGCAGGCGCAGCTACGTACTAAAACACATAAAAATGTCAACACATTAGTGTCGCTACAATACTGTTATTGAAAATGAAAAGATGCGTAGTTATAGGTCACTGTACATTGAATATATTATATATACTTGAGACGTGATCTACAGTCGATATCGAAGCCAAAAATATGGTTTTTAGAATTTTTGTCTGTTTGTCTGTATGTATGTCCGGGATGAGCTCCAAAAGTACTGCATGGATTTACTTCAAATTTTACATAAATATTACTAACAGGTCAGGTCAACATATATGCTACATACTACATTATCATCTACGGGGGAGGAGCTGTGAATCACAATTCCAAGCGAACGAAGTCGCGATATGAGTACAATTATATAATGAATATATAAATACTTACTGATGAATGATGTACATAACATATATCAATGTATGATGGTGGTGATGATGTGCTATATAATCTGAAGTCTGAAGCAGTGGTGCATAAGAAATGATAAATGTAAGTAGATTTATAAAAACGGTGGTATTTATAAATCTAAAAGTAATTTTATTACGGACTCTCTAATTGTGTTTAGACTGATGTAAGTTATAATTTATAAAAAAGTTAATTTTCTAGTGTCTCGAATTGAATACATTGATTAGTTCCTCCAACAGACTCTAGTTTTAAGTTTTAAAATGAGCCAATGATAATTAAATATATTAAGATAGCTACATAAATGGTTTTAGAAGGAATAAATAAATAGTATAGTATAGTGAAAAATGCATATATTATAACAATTAATGCTTAACTAAAAATTACCAGTTACTCACATAAATGTACTGAGAAAAGCTCTACTAGTTTCGAGTCATAGAGGGACTCTTCTTCATGAGTCAAAGTCAAAGTTAAAGCATTTATTTAAATTAAACAATAATTTGGTACTTTTGAAATGTCACCAAATACAAAATAAATAATAGTCTGTCAGTCAGTCCGTCAGTGAAGCTAGGTAGCGTGTAGCGTGCAGTATAGCGGCGATGTCGCGCAGCCATTTTTTTTTTAGGGGAACAATCGGGCAATCTTCGAATGACTGCTCCCGACTGGGTAAGGCGGGAGGGAGTGTCAGACTCTTACTGACTAAAAACCACCCCATTCCTACTTCTACGTTAAGTCCTCCGCAGCTCCGTATATTCTCGTGAGTAACTTGTAATATTTAGTTCATGTCTCACGTATCACGATAGTTATTATAAAATGCTTACTTTAATAGGGTAGTTTCCTAAATTGTATTTTAATGTCCGTCTGGTAAATTAATTTAAAACTTTAGACACGTATTTTTTCTTTTCTCACAAAATTAAATACTTTCGACGATATATTGATTTGAAATATCGTGTGACGTCACAGCGTGTCACATTTTGTAGCACGTTATGACGTAACGACCTCCCACTCCTAAACTTAGCGCCATTTTATCTAAGTATTGCAACCTTATACGAGAAAATAAAAAAATAACGTGTCTAATATTTTTTCATTATCTAACTGACGGACTAATTAGATTATTAATTTTGATACCCTGGAAAGTACCCAATAAGTAACATACCTGGACTAAATTGTCAGGTCTGCCGCACGCTATCATGGCGCGTCGCGTGAAGCTCTCGTACGCTTTGTGGAGCTGAGTCTTCATGAAGTTGGAGATCTGATGGTCTGAGATACAACATAGTTAATACACCTAATGTAACTAGTAATAGAGTTGAAAAATGACTCTTGAATATTCTTATCCAGTTTTTAAGATATCTTTAGGGAGAAGAACGCTTCTGATTGAGAAAATAATATTATGCTGCCTGCCTAATAATAGACTGTCTCGTTGGCCGAATGGTCGCAAGTGCGACTGCCGGGTAAGAGGTCTCGGGTTCGATTCACGGGTCGGGCAAAGTAATACTGAGTTTTTTTTTAAGTCTAAATAGTACCACGGAGTCTGGAATTGTGCCCGGTTCACCCTCTATTACATGGGACTCATAACATAAATAGTGAAAAGTGGGTGTTACATTGTACAGTGGCATTAGGTGCCGTAAATGAGCACCTCAGTCTATCCCGTCAGTGATAAAAGACGACATATACAATTCCAAATTCCGTGCTACTACATTTAAAAAAAAAAACTCAGTAACACTTTACCCGACCCTGCAATCGAAACGTGAAAACCTGGGGCATCAAACAGCAGCTAATCAAAACATGGTTCAAGGTTATTTTTAAAATAAAAATATAATGAAGACAACTCACTCGTCATATCCAGCCAGACGCTGACACTGCTGTCTTCCACGATATCATCATCGACCTCTCCATCGGCCACTCGCTTGCCGAGCGCTGAACTGAAGTTCCTCGAGAAGTGTAGCGCTCCGTACAACTTGCCCGTCGCTACTGCATTGCGAGCTTCTTCCGTGGAGTTGAATACAGTCTGAAATGGAAAGATGGTATGTTTAGTTCTAACTCTTTCGGTAGGAATGTCGTCGGAATTTGATGGTAGAGGAACAGCCAAAAAGGGGGCTTACTCTTCAATCCAATTCCGATCGATCGACATTGACATTGAGGAATTTTGTACTCTTGAGTTGCAACATTAGCGCCCATTGCTTCTGTACTGTGTGGATACTGAATAAACTAAATGGTATTGAGTTTAGCTTTGTATTCCGTACTCTGAATGCTATTTCCACAGCTACGATAGAGGTTTTGGCAATGAATAATTATTGAGATTTTATTGGATTGAAATTGCATTGACATTGAGATTGGTATCAAGAGTAAGTACCCAGGATTCGTTGGTTCTTCAATATTTTCTCGGTAATAATTTATTGAGCTGATTGTAAACCGACACATGTGGACTGCCGTCAGAACAGGTCTGCTTAAACTGTTGTGGTTCTTTCCTCAAAAGGCCACTACAGAATGAACTTACACGGTTCTCACACCATAATCTGTTTGTCTGGTCTTTAAAAGAGACAACCTCTGAGTTTGTTTCGGCATTTCTTCTCAGAGTAGTCAGTTAGGAAATGTCGACCTCATCGTTCGCTTGATAAAATTGACGTGTAAAAGTGCTGCCTTATAGTCTATTTGCAGACATAAATTCACTTGTTTCTACTGAATTTGAAGTAAAATTGTGACTGATATGGTATGGTAATAGAAGAGTTCGTTTTAGATATGACTTTGCATTTCGAAAACAATGGGCCCTTTGAGGAATCAAACGCGTTATGAATCAATAGTCAAGGCTCGTCAAAGCAATTATAATAATGGTTTAATCATAATGTAATGATAACTCAGAAAATATCGTCACATTTAAGTTCATAGATAGCTATAATAACGAGCAAAGAAATGAAAACAGACAAAACTTCTTTATTATATCTTTTGCTTCTTATATATATTCTCTCTTTTGCTGATGGTAAGCAATCAACGTTGTCCATGGACACCCGCAACACCAGAGGAGACACAAGTGCGTTGTCTGTCGTTGACTTTGGGGGATTTGGAGGTTTGGAGATTGAAATTTAGTGGCACCTAAGGGTTGGAGGATTAGGTTAAGATATTATTGACATGGTAATCTGAAATCACACAAATAGCGTAGACACGATATGGAATCAAAGAAAGGTCTACTTACAGGGAACAGCATCTTTTTCTCCATTTCCTCTAAGAACCAGCAGCTCAGCATGTACAGGTCGCAGGTCTCGTCCTCCTGTAGTACTGTCGTCACTAGACTCGTGTTACTGCAGATCTTCAAGCCAACTGGAAAGTAGAAAGAAGAATATTTCGAAGTGAACAAACAAATAACACGTTCTTTTTGTTTTGAGTCAGATACCTATTGATAGTACTAAATGAATGTCGTGGTAGCCATGAGGGTACGAAATTAAACTATCAAACACCAAGCGGTCACCGGTGACCGCAACCTATTGTTCTATAATTGTGTCTACAAAACCGGTACTCGATGAGTTAATGTGACTTTTCAGAGCTATATGTACTTTCTAAGATTATTTAAACACCACTGACAAACGGTGAAGGAAAACATCGTGAGGAAATTTAAGTTCTTAATGTTGAGCCAAGCCTCAAACCTTCTCCGTGTGAGATAAGGCCTTTGGTCAGCAGTGGCCACTTATATGGTGTGATGTAATGTAAATGTGGGGATTGTAGAGGTATGTGTGTATCCGAACACTTGGTGAAGTAATATAAGATGTCCTGGATTGTACAATAGTTATTGTAGACGACATTTATCGAATTGATTATTTGCCTTAATAATTTTTTTCTAAAGGCCCAAAATAAATTGTCATTTTAACCATGTATTGAAGGTGCCTTTAAATCAGAGCTTGACAATATCCAAAGATTATACATACATGGTGAGAAAGCTGCTTCATCGTTGACAACTCCAATCTGTAGATCCCGCGGGTCGTGGCCCACGGCCGCGAAGAATGCAACCACTTGGATGATGGGGAACAGGATGGAGAATATTAGACCACTGGAACAGAAAGGCTATTATTGTCTACCAACTTAACATAGTTGTGGATTTATTACCTCATCTCTACATAAATATTTTCAAACTGCCTCTTTGGCCGAGTGGTCGCAAGTGCGACTGCCGAGCAAGGGGTCTCAGGTTCAATTCCCAGGTCGGGCAAAGTATTACTGGGTTAAATCTCAGTAGTAGCACGGAGTCTGGAATTGTGCCCGATATATGGCAATAGGCTCACCCCCTATTACATGGGACTCGTAACATAGATAGTAAAAAGTGGGTGTTACATTGTACAGTGGCATAATGTGCAACTCTGCCTACCCCTTCCCGTTATGTATGTTGTTGTTGATTTTCACACTATTACATATAAACCTATTTTGATGTTTACCATAAAGGATCATGAGATGAACATAGACCAAGATCAGTGGAAAAAGATTTGGCAAATTATCTAGGGTAGCTATTGAGAGGTTTTCACTTACCCAGGATGCCTGGCGAACTGCTGTATACTCTTGATGAATACTGCTTTATACCGGGACTTTGTCAACTTCTTGTTGCCCTTTTGTTTGTCTTTCTTAGTTAACACCTGAAATACAAGAAGATTCATTTTATCGTATAACTTATTCTTAGTTAAACTATGGAAAGAGAGGGACAGGTAGATGTCCTCACTTTAGGAGATCATCTATCTGCATTCAGTCTGCAATCGGCATAGTCATTCCTGTTACCTAAGACAAGGGTAGCGAAGAAGGTATATGAAGGATTTATTTATTGCCACTCTCGATTCCAAACTTCATGTTTTTACAGAAAAGGTTCAAAGTCAAACAGCTTATGAATGTTGTGCTTAGAAATCATACTCGAGTAACGAGGTAGACAGTGGCATAACTACAGGGTCGCAAGTAGACGAAATGCCACGGGCTGGAACCCACTTCATCAGGTATTCATCAGGAAGTTTTTTATTGGGTACGGGAGCTCATCTTACGAAATTGCTACGGGTACCGAACGGTATAGTTAGATACGCCACTGAAGGTACAGTAGAAAGCCTCGTTGGCCGAGTGTCGCAAGTCGCAAGCGCGACTGCCGGACAAGGGGTCTCAGGTTCAATTCCCGGGTTGGGCAAAGTAGTAGTATTAGCACGGCGTCTGGAATTATGCCCGGTATTATGGCAATAGGCTTACCCCCTATTACATGGGACTCATAACATAAAATAGTGAAAAGTGGGTGTTACATTGCACAGTGGCATTAAGTGCCATAATGTGCACCTCTCCATATCCCTTCGGGGGTAAAAGGCGTGATGCTACGTCATGTTATGTTAAACTCAAAAAAATATCTCATAAGATCTTTATAATTCTGTATAATATTGACATGATACTAACATCTGTGCTGCTGGTAATGGTGGGGAAGTCGTCTCGTGAGTGGTACCGACTGTCCACTCCCGTACACATGCCGCTGTCCGGGATCACGTCCGGGGATGCTGTTAGAGCTGTACATAGAAATGGCCTTCGCATTAATTTGTGTATAATGAACATCCTAGATTAGTTCGACGGTTCAACAATAGATGGCGTCACATGTTTTCAATGAAATAAGCATAAGATCGTAAATTATTATTCTAATTACTGACTGCCTCATTGGCTAAGTGATCGCAAGTGCGATTTAGTTCAGGCAAAGTATTACTGGATTTTTTTTAAAATCTCAGTAGTAGCACGGAGTCTGAAATTGTGCCCGGTATATGGCAATAGGCTCACTCTCTATTACCTGGGACTCATTACATAAATAGTGAAAAGTTACATAGTACAGTGGCATTAAGTGCCATAATGTGCACCTCTGCCTACCCTTTCGGGGGTAAAAGGCGTGATGTTATGTATGCGTATTCTAATCACTTTGGCCGATGAAAGAAAAAAATGTTTGGTCTTTAAATAATTATTATAATAATTTTGAAAAAATACATTTTAAGGGAAATATTAAAATGTGTCTAAATACTAACTGGACCGTCTCCTTGGCATCTCGTGTTGCCTCATCGCCAGTTTCAAGAACGCCTCTTCAAGAGTGTCGCAGTCGAACTTCCTCAATAGATCCTCGGGGGAGTCCTCCGCTAATAGTTGACCATCTCGGAGGAGACCGATCTGAAAAAAACAGAGTAAAAATTGAAATTGACAATTCAAACTATGTTTTTACTCAATTTTTGCACTGAGTAGATGGCGCTAGTCACGAAAATAATTTTAGTCCTATTCAGTTGATCCATGTTCCATGTTCAAACTATGAACCGACTTCAAACAAAGAAGGAGGTTCTCAGGTTGACCTATATGTATCTATGTATATACCTCTATGTTTGTGTGCGATTATCTCGCGATCGGCTAAACCGATTTAATGCAGTTTTGAGAAACGTGTTCTTATACTTAGAAGAAGGTTTTAAGTATATTAATTGTTTTTTCTTTCTTTTGTTCGGTTTTTCTATACGTAGTATATGAAAGAATTGAGTAGTTTCCAGGGTATCAAAATTAAAAATCTAATTAGTCCGTCAGTTGGATAATGAAAAAATATTAGACACGTATTTTTTTTATTTTCTCGTATTAACTCGTCGAGTACCGGTTTTGTAGACACAATTATAGAACAACAGGTTGCGGTCACCGGTGACCGCTTGGTATTTGACAGTTTAAATTGCAATACTGATTTTTATGGCGAAAAGATAAAATGGCGCTAAGTTTAGGAGTGGGAGGTTGTTACGTCATAACGTGCTACAAAATGTGGCACGCTGTGACGTCACACGATATTTCAAATTAATATATCGTCGAAATTATTTGATTTTGTGAGAGGAGAAAAAATACGTGTCTATAGTTTTAAAATAATGTATCAGTCGGACATTAAAATAAAATTTAGGAAACTACTCTATTATTTTTTTCTTTCTTTTTGTCGGTTTTATTTCTACAAAGAGCTCTGAATGATCGCCAAGCAAGTCTAATTATCCTCGTTAATAACGAGCACGCCGTGCGAGCAGTAATTACAATTAATTAGCCCACCATACTTCTATTGTGACAACGTTATCTTGCATAGAAGGTAGTATTTACTGTAATTGCTCTGATAGCTTCATTTTTATTGTCATGGAAAAATTGTGGCTATTTTTATATATAAGACATAAGTTTAGAGTGCGGCCGTCGGTAGAGGGCGCCCTAAACGGATATATATCGACTAGATTGGCGATAAAGTCTTATTTTGTGGTTTATTTCAAAAATCTTGGACTGAATTAATAAGATAATATAAATTAGTAAAGAATAATCAACTAGGACGTGAGCGAAGGTGCCGCAGAGGTTATTGCTAGGTAATATTTAGGAACTGACCTTGTGTGCTTGTTTCGTTTCGTCTATGTAATGTGTCGTGATGATAACGGTGGTTCCTCGTCGAGCTTGCTCTGCTAGGAAGTCCCATATCCTGGAATACATAAAAAACATCAGTATTAGATATTGTTTTTATTTTTGGACTAGAAAACGAATGCGGTTATTTTGAGAGCAAAATTGTAGGCAAAATGAAACCAATTACCTCTGCAATAAAAACTTTTATGAATAATATTCATTGCTGTTAAATAAATGAATATACAAAATTAGACTGCGTATTTAAACACAAGGAAAGACACAAAGTACATTTAACTTATTGCATAATTAACTGTTTTGTTGCTAATGGTTGCCAGTGCAACTATTAACACCAATTAATTGATCTTTGGTTTTAACAGTCTAACTTCAGGATCCCACAACTATAGGGTTTTTTTTTTCGAAAGGGGCGAAATCATCGAATGACTGCTCCCGCCTGGGTGAGGCGGGAGGGAGTGTCAGACTCTTATTGACTAAAACCACCCCGTTCCTTCTCCTGCACGTCGAGCCGGAGCCCCGGTAACCCGTTGGGTTCTCCGCGACACAACAATAGGGTTAGAACCATTTAGACTAACTGTTACCTTCAACCTATCTGCCAAGCACGGAGATTATGGCAAACCCTTTTATGTTGAGGGGGTTCATAGTCCTCGGTGCACCATTGATGATGATTTTAATAGGGTTTGTAATTAATTATCGCCACCTATATAAATGAAAACGAATTTTCGTTCGTTAGTCTCGCTAAAACTCGAGAACCGCTGAACGGATTTGGCTAATTGGTCTTAAAGTGTTCGTGGAAGTCCAGGGAAGGTTTAAAAGGTAAGTAATACAAATTTTTGGCGGTACGAAGTTTGTTGAGTCATGATAGATTGTTACACTTATAAGTCGCACGGTGTAAAATTGTGCAGATGTCTATAGGCTAGAGTATCTTTGGGGCTGTAGACAATCTTGCGAGTTACCAGGGAATCAGGAGTTGGAACGGTGTGGTTTTTAGTTTGACACTGTCGCGGACAACCTAACGGGTAACCGAGGCTTCGGCTCGACGTGCAGGAGAAGAAACGGGGTGTTTTTTAGCCAGTAAGAGTCTGACACTCCCTCCCGCCTCACCCAGGCGGGAGCAGTCATTCGATGATTTTTCCCCCTTAAAAAAAGTGTTTGACACTTTCCCGCTTGCCTTGCCCCTCGCCCCTCGCCCCTTGATAAAAGTCATTTGATGATTTTGACCCCTCAAAACAAAAGGCTAGAGTAACTATTTTACTTCAAATTTGTCGCAAACTCGTAAACGTATTCACAATTTCAATGGTATTACAAAAAAATCGTTTTTGGAACACAAATACTTGCAAAAAATGTAGGCAAGAGCAGATTACAACGCAATGTGGTCATATTCGTGAGAACTGTAACTTGGCACCGTGATCTAAATTAGATGTTTTTCTCTCGTTTCATGTTTGTACAATAATGGGAATCCTGAAATATATAAGGTTGTTTTTGTATGTGTTTAATATACTTATAAAATGTACAAGTCTTATTGCATCATTTTCGGTTTCAAGGAAGCTGCTTTAGACGGTTTTGTTTTCTTATATAAAGTTTTCTTATATTCTATTTATGTAATATCAACTTTTCCGCCTGCCCAATGACAAGGACCAGTCCAAAAAGCTGACGATCAGCATCAGCGACAACCAACCTTCAGGAATGAACTGGCACCAGAAGAAGAAGGTAATATCTCTCTAGGAATGGAGAGCCCGGCTGCTATAGACTAAGAATCCATTTGCTAATCGTAACTTTGCCAAACTTTACAACTATTAGAAGAAGTTACCTAATTTCAATTTGTCTATTATGGATGTCCAAGAAAAAGTTAAATAAAAAGAAGCTATGTATTTATCTCGCACAAACTCAAGACAGAGCCGGTACACGTTAACATACAATAATAATAATTATTTCAAACATCTACCTACACATCACTGGAACACGTGATACCTACAACCATAACACCATAATGCTGTGTTTATTGAACAAATGCGCAAGTTATGTTATAACATAATGTTAACACACGTACTGTCAATTAACAATATAATTAAAACTAAGTACTACACGTTATGGCATAATTAGGAGCCCTGTATATTATTAAGTCGTGTGGCGATTGCAGCAGATTGTACCTAAAAAACAGTTAACCTCTGTGACCATTCCTACATATACGTAAGAGTGGGAGACCCATGTTTCGGCACGAATGGGCCGGCTCGACCGGAGTGATACCACGGCCTCAGAGAAAACCGACGTGAAACAACAATTGTAACAGTCAAACCATTGTAACGGTTTTGTGGGGCTTAAATTGTAACATACTTACCTGTGTGATTTAAAGATAAATAAATAACGCTTGCATTGTGTTTTGTCGTGTGAGTGAGGTGCAATTACCCCCCCCCCCCCATCCGCAGTCTCCACAAACCTCAAATTCCCAATTCCCAAAAGGCCGGTAACGCACTTGTAACGCTTTGGAGTTCAGGTGATCCGTCAGTCTTTTTTATGTTGCCATAAAAAATACTACTATAATAATTCTAGAGCCGAGTACCCGTCGAAACTATAACCGAACTTCTTTCAAATACGTAGGTTTTTTTAAGGGGGGAAAATCATCGAATGACTTCTCCCGCCTGGTTGAGGCGGGAGGGAGTGTCAGACTCTTACTGACTAAAAACCACCCCGTTCCTTCTCCTACACGTCGAGCCGGAGCCCAGGCAACCCGTTAGGTTCTCCACGACTAAAAATCGGCATTAGCCCTGTTGGGCCATATCCGTGGAAATACATAGATTAAGATCGATTTTTAACATTCGTTCTATAGAGATTTTGTCGAATCAAAAATTGAAAATTAATAGATGTTCATAACAGTAATTGGGTACTTATTGGTATTGGTCTTTTTTATAGGATAAGCCAGTAAACGAGCAAGCAGATCACCTAATGGTAAGCAATCTGTGTCGCCCATGGACACCTGGAACACCAGAGGCGTTACAAGTGCGTTACCGGCCTTTTGGGGATTAGGAGTTTGAGAACATACTTTTAAAGGCAGTTGGCTAAAATACTATATTTATAGAGGTAAAATGACAGAAAATATTTTCAAGAATATAAATTGCACTTCCCTGTAATATATTTCTATGTATGTTTAACATGATTGCTAAACACATAGCAGCTACAAACTATATCCATTTACTTTATTTGTTTTTGAGTATTTAAATTTACAATGTATGTCTAAGTATTTGTTTTACTTAGAATATATTTACAACTAGTAATTGTATTTGTTTACAGTTATATTTTATTATGTCCTTGAATGTATGGAGATTGATGTAAAAAAGAGTCACCTATGGAGTTTCTTGCTCTACACTTTGAAACGAGCAAATAGCTTCACTAGAGGACTGACCGATAAACTGACATATTTTCTTATTATTTAATATTTGAATATTTTGTTTTTGACGTTCAAACGTGCCTTAGTGGTCTAATTGAAATAAATAATTTAGACTTTGACCATATTTCATAGAAAATAATTCTATTTTACACTGCTTCTCTATTAGCTTTTCTCACATACGTGAAAAGAAAAAAAAAATACTTGATGTGACTAGTTCGTATTTATTTTTTAAAATTTTCAGAAAAAGATATCACAGAGGCTGGATTCTGTAAGTTATAATAATATGCTACACTATAAGAGGGCACGAGACGATGTAGCGTGCCCTAGTAGAGGCAGTAGTTCAGTCCAATAGGGAACTGTACTTGTTTAGATTTTAGACAATTTTCACAGAACTTCATCAACTTAGATGAATTATGGCATAGAGTACGCAGTCTCGTCAAAACGGCTGAAGAGATCGGGATGAAATTTGGGACAGGGATAAATTATGATAACATAGACTTTTATATTCTACGGAAACGCGGGAGAAGCCGCGGACAGATGCTAGTACATATATGTAACCCGAGCGTACGGCGCGTTGCGATCAGCGCGCGCCTCAAAGAGCCATCAGACCACCACGGATGGGGCCCAACAGGGCTGATGCCGATTCAGAGTCGCGGAGAATCTAACGGGTAACCGGGGTTCCGGCTCGACGTGCAGGAGAAGGAACGGGGTGGTTATTTAGTCAGTAAGAATCTGACATTCGATGATTTCCCCCCTTAAAAAAAGGTACATATATGTATCTATTCTTAGGCAATTCACCTCTCTTCCTAAAAGGTTTTGTTTTGTTTCTACATATAGGTATCTAACCTAGAGACTGCCAAGATGTGTAATCCAGTTCTTACTACATCCTATTATTGTTGCAACCTGACTTTATAGCCAAAGTTAGAAGAGCCAAGTGCAGCATACGCAATGAAAGTTAGCACACTATGGTTATTTTATTTTATATTATGTTGATATTTACAACATAGGAAAATAACTCTTTTTATGGAATAAGCCGGTAAACGAGCAGGCACATCACCTGATGGTAAGCATTCGTCCCCGCCCATGGACACCCGGATCGCCAGAGGTTTTACAAGAGCGTTGCCTGCCTTTTGGGGATTAGGAATTTGGGGATTAGAAAGATTGGGGAGAGCGATAATTGGGCCTCCGGTAACCTCACCCACACATATTACGACACAACATAAATGTTTATTTATTTATTTATTAGTTTACTAGCTTTTACCCGCGGCTTCGCTCGCGTCACAAAAGGATAAAAAATAGTCTATGTGACATATACCAATACATACAGCGCCATCTATACCAATACTTTTGTTTTCCCTCGGGAATATCAAATTTTTTCGGGATAAAAAGTACCCTATTATTTAATCCAGACTACTAACTTTACGTCTGCAAAAATTCAATGCAATTGGTTTAGTAGTTACGGCGTGAAGTCGGAACAAACAAACAAACAAACAAACTCACTTTCCCATTTATAATAGTAAGGACAAGGAAGTAAGGATAGCTTTTACCCGCGGCTTCGCTCGCGTCACAAAAGGATAAAAAGTAGTCTATGTGACATATACCAATACATACAGCGCCATCTATACCAATACTTTTGTTTTCCCTCGGGAATATCAAATTTTTTCGGGATAAAAAGTACC